GTCCCTAAGGGCTTTCAGCGTATTTTTCGATGCGTTTTTCTCGCCGAAGGAATTTTTTTGAACTTTTTCTTTATTTTTATGTCAATCTACATGCATTTCTGCACATTTTGATGCAATAAAAAATTTCACCGTACACCACCTTTAAAACATTTTTTTTGATTAAAACTATAGATTTTCGCTATCACCTTCAAGGCATCCAACTTGTATCTCACTGCACATGTGAATTTGATTTTCATTGAATTTTTCGATTTTTCCAATAAAAATTCCTCGCATCTCCTGATTGCAGTTTTCGCATCGTACATATCTGCCATTTTCAGAATCCCCTCTACAGTATAATCATCAATTGCAGATTCTCCATATAGAACTTCTAGAAACTTCTGTAAATCCTCCGGATCGATATTATTCAGTTCGATTATCGATTTTTCAGATTCAGAGAGCTTTCCAAGTAATAGAGTTTTGAAATAAGACGAGTGATGAGCAAGGTACATTCTGTTCACATAGAATTTTCGATCTCCAGCAATCAAAATGACATCCGAAAGCTTATTTTTTCCGAAATCGAGATGCTCGCGATAACGAATCCCCATCGATTTATTGCCGATTCGTTTCTTGCGCTTTCGTTTCTTGCGGATTTCAATTCTTGCCCCGATTTGTAGAAATAGTTTGATTTGAAACACTTTATTATTAGCCAAACAACGGAAAAACAAAGAAAAATTATTATTAGCCAAACAACGGATATTATTAGCCAAACAACGGAAAAACAAAGAAAAATTGGAAGAATTTTGAGAATATTAGTATAAAAAACAAAAAAAATTAGTAATCATTTTCACAAAAAAGAAATGGCTTTCAAGAAAATCTCCTTCCAGACTTCCGTGTCGAAATCAGTAGAATCTTCCGGAACGAAATTAGCCAAACAACGGAAAAACAAAGAAAAATTGGAAGAATTTTGAGAATATTAGTATAAAAAACAAAAAAAATTAGTAATCATTTTCACAAAAAAGAAATGGCTTTCAAGAAAATCTCCTTCCAGACTTCCGTGTCGAAATCAGTAGAATCTTCCGGAACGAAATTAGCCAAACAACGGAAAAACAAAGAAAAATTGGAAGAATTTTGAGAATATTAGTATAAAAAACAAAAAAAATTAGTAATCATTTTCACAAAAAAGAAATGGCTTTCAAGAAAATCTCCTTCCAGACTTCCGTGTCGAAATCAGTAGAATCTTCCGGAACGAAATTAGCCAAACAACGGAAAAACAAAGAAAAATTGGAAGAATTTTGAGAATATTAGTATAAAAAACAAAAAAAATTAGTAATCATTTTCACAAAAAAGAAATGGCTTTCAAGAAAATCTCCTTCCAGACTTCCGTGTCGAAATCAGTAGAATCTTCTGGAACGAAATCTTCGAAATATGTCGTTTTGGTCATTTCGGAGAAACATTTTTTCTTCAATTCAGCCAATTTGTATTTAATCGCCAGGGGGAATTTGAATTTCAGCGTTTTTTTCGAATGATCCATCAGAAACCCTTCGCATCTTCGGACAACGAATTTCGCATCGAAAAAATCAGCTAGTTTGAGAACTTCCGAGACTGTGTCATCTGAAAAATCAATAATTGCTCAGAATATTCCAAAAACCCATACCATTCACAAATGTCTCTCCGTTGATAAGCTCTAGGAAGTTCTGAAGATCACTCGGATCGATATCCTTTAATTCGATTTCAGATTTTTGAGATTCCGAGAAATTCCCGAGAAATAGAGATTCGAAATATACGGAATGAGAAGCCACGAATAATTTTGAGACATAGAATTTTTGATTTCCAGCCAACAAACAGACATCTGAGAACTTCTTCGCCACGTCATCATCAAAATTTCTCAGCTTCGGAAGTTGCTTCGGAAGTTGCTTCGGAAGTTGCTTCGGAATTTCGAATCCTGTCATTTTCTTTATTGTCACGTGGAATTCTGCTTCCAGGTTTCCATTGAACCGATAATCTTCTAAGTCAAAATAATTAATCAGAACCAAGTCGATAACTTTCTCAGACGTTCCGGAAATCGAGTGTGTTTTATTTTTAATTATTGAATCTCTGTACAAATTTGAGTCCACTTCGATTTCCATCGACCATTCACTTTCAACAACGTCTTCTGCTTTTCGAAATTCTAATTGAAAATAGTCAAAAACCTCATTTCGTGAAACCTTCAAGGAATGACGAAGCTTCCAGAAGATTCCGAAGTGTTTTTCTTCAACTACTTCTTGTTCTGGGTTTAGAACGCCTTCAAAAACACGCTTGATCACAAACTTCTTCTCCTCTCTATTTTCTGTCATTTTTGTCGATCTTTGCAGCGGGTTACCTGGAAAAAACAAGGAATTTTTAAAATTCAACAAGAATTTCAATATTCATGCCGAAAATCTGAGAAAAAATGACGAAAAAACTCCTATTATGCTTGTCTGAGAAAAAAAGGTGAGACGCAGAGAAATAGTGTCTGCGTCTCCACTTAATATGTGCTATTTAGGCTCTCCGCTTCGATATCGCTACCGTATTCAGACTGCAAATAATACTCTCTAACCTTTTTTTTCTCAGACAAGCATAATAAAATTGGTGTAAATCAATGCAAGAACTTTTCAAAAACACTTATTTGCTAATCGCTGCGGAGTCTCTGAAACAATTTCTAGGCGTGCGCCTTTAACTACTGTACTTGAAAATATATATTTTTATTTTTTAATGAATTTTGAGTTATTTTTCGCAGGTTTTTAGACAATAAGTGTTTTAAAAAACAACTTACATTTTTTCTAACTGGGAAACTACACAATTCAAATAAAAAAGTACAAAAATCAGACATTTCTAGCCGATTTTCAGCATTTTGACGAGTACAGTAGTTTCTTTGAAGGCACATGACAACATTTTTTACTTGAAAAAAGTAAGAAAAGTGAAAATTATTGCAAAAAGAGACAGATTTGAAGGCATTTATCGATAAATTATGACATAATTGAATATTTAGAGAGGAGACAGAAGGAAAAAATGAAAAAGCCAATTTTAGAGAGATTTCCGGAGCATTTTAGGTGAAGAAATGTTCAAAAAAGATGAAAATTTACTGAAATTAGCGATGGCCGAGAAAGTGGGAGTTTTCTCGGCCACCCCCCGGTGTAGTCCTCGTGGACAAGCAATTTGGTGTGTCGAAATCCGGCCGCGTGAAAACGATGCACGTTGCGGCCGAGAAAACAACGGTGGGCGGAGCTTAGCTACCACAGAGAGAATCTTACTGTATTTTTCAAATTCTTGCACGCGCCTTTAATACAGTACCTCAACATTTATCGAATTTTCTTAAATTTCTCTCATTTTTTCGCTTGTTTCTGTCTAATTTTGCGTATCTCTTATAAATCTTTAATTTATTTTTCTTATAAAATAGAAAAAAACAGCCAAATAGGGCCCAAAATAAAAAACGTCCGAGGTACGGTATTTAAAGGTGCAGTCCAGTGTACCGTATCATTGCCTACAAAAGATCCAATTTGCACGCTTACATTCTTGAAATTATTCAAATTCTGCGACCAATATTCTAAAATTGCCAATTCCCAATTTTCGATTCTCGTGAAATCATGAAAGACGATGTGCTCCTTTCCGTTGAATTTGAATTTCCCGCCTGTGGAAATCACCGATTCCGGATTATCGATTTTTTCCAGACAATCCAGATAGACCTTGAGTTTTTGGTCTTTTCGAAGCAAGCGGATTTTCCTGAAAAAATTTTTTTGGCCTAAAAAATTTGAATTTCTTAAATATCGATTTTTCGAAAATATCGATTTTCGGCCCTACCACGACATCCCTAGATGATCCTCGACGTC